CTCGGGCCGCTTTCATACTCCCCTATGCTGCCCTCAGATTCTTCCCCTTCGCTCTCCATCCCCTCTCTCCCCTGTGTCTCTGCTCCTGAGCCCCTGACAGATGTCTTCTCAGTTTCTCTTTAATATTTTTATAGGTGTTTGATCTATAAAGGCTGTGCCCTAGAACAGCTGGGCATGATACGGACTGGAGGGAAAATGGCTCTGGAATTAATTTCAAGTGGTGCCCAAGAGCTGGAATAAGAAATGTGTTGCTGAACAAATTGAGAACAGTGATCATAGTGCCATCAAATTTAACATTGGTGGACAATTGCCAGTTGTAAGGGGACAATTGCCAAGCATGTGCAGCATAATCACATTTGACTTCGAAAAGGGAAACTTCTAAAAAATGAGGGGACCATGAAAAAAGAATGTTGAAATGGAAAGTCTCTTCAAAATGCTTTGGATATTCAAAACCAAAGTGAGAGACACTCCCTTAGAATGCATGCCAACTGATCAGGAAAGGTACCACCAAAGGCCGAGAGGATGTCAGCGTAGTTAAAGAGCAGAGTCAAGAAAGTTTTTGGAGGTAAGAAGGCTCTTTCAGAAAATGGAAGTCTTGCCCAAACGAGAACAAAAAGGAAGATACGTTTTGGCAAAAGAAATGCAAGAAGATAATAAAGGTGGAAGGGTTTTGAGGAGCATACCACTAAAAACATAAAGATCAACAATCACAAATAAACAAAAATACCTTAGAAACAGGAAAGCAGATGGAGAGGTGGCTGGATCCCTGGGCAGCAAAGGAGTCAAAGGTGAGCTAAATAATGAAAAGGAGATCACAGAATAGCTGAATTATTTCTGTCTGTCTCGATGGTAGAAGATCCCTGAATTTTCCCTGAATCTGAGGAACTGAAACCAAAGATGAAGATCTAAAATATACAGACAAATTAAATAAATAAATCACAGTATCCAGATGACATCCAACCAAGAGTTCCTAAAGCAAATACGAAAATTGTGATGTAACAAAAATGTGTAACTTTGGCTTAATATCAGCTTCTATACTTGAGGACTAGAAAGTGGCAAATACAACACTATTTTTCAATATATGTATTTTAAAAATAAAGGTCCACGGGAGATCCAGAAATTACAGATTGGTTCATTTAACATCTCTTCTGAGAAAACTGGCAGAAAGCATTATTAAAGATAAAATTGCCAAACATATAGAAGAACAAGTCTTGATCAAGAAGAACCAGCATCGCTTCAGCAAAGGTAAAGTCCTGTCTAACCTTTTAGAGTTTTGGGGGATGGTCAATAAACATATGAATATATGAACATATCCAGTGGGCATTTTGTATAAAATCCCTCACCAAAGACTCATGAGTAAGCTTAGCAGAGAAGACAGGTCCCTCTTATAGAACACAATTTGTTTAAAGATCAGGAAGCAGAGACAATGAATAAATGAACAGTTCCCGCCCTGGAAATATGTAAGAAGTTGGGTCCTCCAAGACTCTGTATTGGGCCCTGTGCTCTTTAGCATGTTCATAAATTACCTGGAACTGGGGGTGAGCAGCGGGGTAGCAAAGCTTGCTGATGACACCAAACTATTCAGGGTGATAACAACAAAAAAAGATTGCAAGGTTCTCCAGAAGGATCTCTCCAGCTGGATAATAAAGGGGCATTAAAATGGCAACTATGATCCAATGTAAGTGTGTGTAAAGCAATGCACACTGGGGCAAAGAGTCCTGTTGATGGTTGCTAGACACTGGAGGCTGCATGCTTTTAAATGTAAGTTGCTGGGGATAGTTATGTAGTAAGAACAACCCAGTAACCACTATCTTCCACCTGTTCTACCACTGAGGACTTCTTGGATCATTCTTTGTCTAGCACCTTCCCTTTGATCTTCCTTACTGCCTTGGGTCACTCTGCTGGGAGTATGAGACTCCTGACGGCTTCGCTCACCAAGGTCATAGGAACATGCAAGCCCCACGACAAGATGATGGTCCAGCGAGTGAGACTGTAAGAATAGGATGCTGGACTTTGGTACAGCTCATCTGTTATGCTTGACTCTCTTTTTTCTGTTTGCCATTATGCAGGTTTAAAAGATCAATTTCAATTCACTCTTTGTTTAAATGATGAGCTGGGTTTTTTAAATAGTAATTGCTGTGTGTTTTATAGTGTAATGTGGTTATTATTAGTTTAACCGCTTAAGCAGTCAATACATGTTAAACATTTTAGATACTGGTTGCACGCTTTAAAGATATTAACTCTAAGCCACTTTAAGAAAACTTTTGTTTTGAAAGATGGCATATAAATTCCTAATTTTGAAAAATGCAAATCAAGGAGTGAGGAACACTGTATCCCTAGGAGTGATCTTTGCCACAGATGTATTATATGGAACATTACTGCAGCTGAATGGCAAGAGGAAACAAAGTTGTAAATTAGAATAGGAGAATACTATTAAGAATGAGCTCGCAAATGGATATATAGAACTGTTCTGGGGTTAAAGAGAGCTCCTTATGTTTGACTGTTAAGAGTAAATTGTTATAAATTGTCAACTCAGTGGTCCTCAAGTTCATGTAAAATATGGAAGTCATTTGGAAAGTGCAGTGACAATTACCAGGAATGTCTGAGGAAGTTTGTTCTTTTTGCATTGTTGTTGTTGTTTTTTGGGGGAGGGGACAAACCTAAGACTTCTAAACAAAAACAACACTTGAAATTAATGAAATACCATATGTTAATATCACCTTTGACCTCAAAATGTTTGCAAATGTTTTATTAAAAATATTTTATTAAAGAACAGCTGTTTCATGTGATAATGGTCACGAGGTTAGTTTAAATTAAATTCTGGGAGCAGAAGAAAGTTTCTGTGATTAGACTGTAACTTTGGGATTCAGTGATTTCTTATCAAGTGAATGAAATACATTTTTTTGTGAAGGAGGGGGTGACAAGCGGTTAATATATTTGTGCAAAGATGGAAATGGTTTAGGATAGTGGTTTTCAACCTTTTTGCGTCCATGTCTCTCTTAACCACATTCTTTCAGTGGCTCCCCTGTGGGACACGGAGAATCCCCACTTACACGGGGGCTCCATTCCAGGACATCACGTGTGTCACAGGGATGCACGTCAAGGGGGATTCCCCATTCCGCCCTGCCCAATTCCATCCCCCCATTTTTGGCACGCATGTAAGTGGGAGTGTGTGTGCCGATTGTGCACAAGTGGGGATTCCCGTTTCACTTTTTACTAGTGTTTGCCAATCTAAATACGCCTTCCATGTTGCTGCATTTTAAATTTAAGCGTGGGACCCGGGTGCAAGACGCTCTGGAAGCAGAAGGGAAAAAATAGCAGGCAAAGTTTGGCCAAAACAGACATCAGTTGGCCACAATTACTGGCAAACATAGAATGACATCAGGGTTGACACCTGCCTTGATTTTACAATATTATGCCTTATTTTTGCTCAAAATGGTTTTATTTGCAAGATCGTTTTGTGGAACAGCATGCAAATAATGGCTGTAAATAAATGCTTTATTTGGGCAGGGGGAGGGGGAGATACTTTTATTTATGGTCTGAGATGATCTTGGAGAGGACCCACTTTTGCAGCTTTTGCATTGCTATGAATATTACCCAGTATAGGTTCTGGAGTAAATTAAATGTCTTACAGAAATTTGTGGCTTTGCAATCAAGCAAAGAGCTCTGGTTGCCTTATTTTGAAGAGTTAGAAAAACTGAAGTAAAGAAATAATGATGAAACCAGCAAGGGGGCTGAGGCAACTTAAGGACTTCAGATCCTCCCCTCATCTATGAAGCTCACTGGGTGTGACCTTGGGAGCCAGTCACTGCCTCTCAGACTGACCTCCCTCACAGGTTGTTCTGAGGATAGAGTGGGGAGGGGAGGGAAAGAACTCCATAGAAAAGCTCCCTGTAGAAAAGATAACACAACCGAACAGAAAGCCCCTTTCAAGGCTCGTGTCTGCCACATTTCACAGGACAGGCAATTCCAACAGTTTGGCATTGCAACAGAGAAAGCCCTCCGACTGGCTGCTACGAGATGTATAAGATGGGCAGGCGAAAGCACGTGCAGCAGGGCCTGATCTGTAGATTTCAGCGAATGGACAGGTTGGTATGGAGAAGGCAATTGACAGAATCATGGAGTTGAAAGGTACCCCAGGGGTCATCTAGTCCAACCCCTGCAATGCAGGAATTCCTTAGGTCCCCAATTGCTTAGGTCCTTGCATATGTTATAGTTGCAGCCTTTAATACCAGCTGAACAGAAGCAATTTTTTCCCAGTGGTAGCCACACCATCATGGTAGTGTATTAACCCAACCTAAGGCCATTGGCTGCCCCATTGGGCAAGATGAGACCTTTGCCACAGGTGGCAGATTGTATGTGCATGAAGGGTGAATCAGTGCTCCCTGACACATCTGGCATTACTCCAGCCACCCATGACCGTTTTTCTTGCTCACAAGTCGCCAGCTGCTACTACTGCCACCCAGACCCTCTCCCAACCCAAGCCTGGCTTCTACGCAGTAGCAGCAGCATGTGCCTTGAACCCTAGGCCAGCCAACAACCAAAAAGCAGCCCCATGCCTTGCTCCAAGGCAGCCCTTCCTCGGAGGAAGACAATGTGGGTGAGGTGGCCCCAGAGACTGCCTGCTCAAAGTTTACTACTGTCCAAGCTGAAACAACACCCTGTTCTGTGGAAGGACCTTATGCTCTTCAGACGGCATGAGACCTCGTGGGATAAGATGGCCCAGGAAGGCCAACAAGCATCCATGACAGCCCACTGACTGATGACGTAGCGTTGTCAACAATTTAACTAGGAGGCTGTGCCTAGTGAGAGCAGGAGCAAAGAAGAATGGCCGACTGGGGCACTTTGCCTTAAATGGCACACCAAGCCTCGTCAGATCTGCTGGTAAATGTTTTCTAATGTATGACGAAGCAGACACACACACAAAAAATGAGCCCACAACTGCAGCATTTTGAATGTGAAACGCCCTGTTCCTGTCTATGTGTACACCACGCAATTAGTAGCTTTAAAAGATTTTTATTTGTCTAACATGCTTGACAGAAAATTACAACAACAATCCAGTTATGCCAAAATGAGTCAACACACCTGAAAATTTTCATGACCTCAAAAGCTTCTTAATGTCATTCATACATAAAAATGCACAATGTTCCAAAGAAATATTCTCAGGGGGAGAAATATTCTTCAGAGAATATATCCTGACTTACATAGAAATGTTCTTGAGGCAAAAAAAGGAAAGGCCTCTTATTTTAATAATATGCTCCACCTCCTTTTTTAAGTGTTTCTGAAGTGCTATGAGTTATTGTAAACATTTTAGACTCATTTATCTGTTTCAGGAAGCTTGCTTATTTTATTTTCTGGGGTTGTCACTAGAAAACATAAGTAAAGGTTTATTATAAAAATAGCCACATTAAAAGTCTGGTTGACAATGTAGAATTCCTTCATTTGGAGGAATGACAATGTGGTGAAAGGCTGGTGCAAACTGGCCACTTGTCGTAGCGGCTTTGCTTTTTCTCGCAACGGTGGCCAGAGATATCTGCCATCTACCTGCCATGTAGCCTGGTTTGCAGTAGCCTTTCTGTGCAAAGTTATATCTGCACATCTGATCTTGTGAGTAAATTTGATCCACAGTAATATATATTTTCAGAACACATAAGGTTGCCATAAAATGACAAGTCTTCTTTTTGCGCTCCATGTTCCATGGATTGCAACCAATCGTCAAATTGAGTACTGAACAAGCAACAAGTCTAGTTATCATTCTGTACCTCTCTCAGATTTGACCCTGAACTCCACATTCCTGAAGTTATGTGTCTATATAGTAATATAGTAGTTAAAATCCACATTTATGTTCCCTGTGATGTGCTCATGTGGATTGTTCCGCAGTTCTTAAACATGCTTGGATCAGCTGCATGCACGCACATTTGCCAGCTTGGGTGAGTGTGGAATTGACCTTTGAGAACTGGGCTGCAAGGGCAAAAGCTATGGCTATGGACACAGTAGCGGCTGAAAATGCAGCAAGTATTTCAAGTCGCATTTGCACATTGTTGTACAGACGGTTGCAGACAGTAGAACTTACTTCTAAGGAAATATAATTAGGTTTGCCCTGTATGAGATTTAACAGCTGCAGAATTCATTAGGGGTTTTTTGGGGAGGGGGCTTTTTAATTCCTGAGTTTACATTTAATTTAAACTACTTCTCTTTCAATTTTTGTGTGCTGTATACTGCATTTCGGTAATCTCCACCATAATATCACTTTCCATATTTAATATCAGATGGAAGAAGATTTTTAAAATTCTCCTATACTCGGTTTTACAAGACTGGAAGATTATAGATTTGAAAAGTATGTGCCATAATAATGTGCTTCTTTTGACCTCTTAAATACACGGGGAGTCATTTTATATCTGTAATAATAGTCCCAAGAATCTAGCACAATTATATTTTCCCCTCACTGTGATTATCCTGTGAAACCAGGTTTAAATGAGCAAATGCTAGCATTTAACACACATGAAAACTGTAAACCTTCATAAAGAACCACTTGGCTGAAGAGTCATGTCATTTTAGTATGTTCAATATAGCACATGGAATATACATAATGCATTGATTTCTCTTGATATAACATGGAATGCACACCCCTTTTCTGTATTAAAAAGTCTTTTTAAAATGATGAAATGTTAGATCTGTTGAAGTATTTCTAGAAGGCTGTGATACCAGATGCCTCTGATGTCTGTCCATTCTTGCGTCTCCAGTTATTTCATAAAGAGAAAAGAAAAACACGTTCATAATTTAGCGTATGCTTAGTTTTTACACCAGCAGCTCTGTGCTGCTAGCCAATGTTTTACGCAGGTTGCAGGCTTCATACTTCTGCGTGTGATAATCATGTGTTCCTTGGAGTAGGCAAATCGATAACTATAGGTGGATTGAGTGGCTGGTAATTCACGGTACATGCAGAAGCATTCACGTAGGTGGTAGTTCCATCAGCCATAACTCCGTAACCTAGAATTTAAAAAGATAGTTGTTATTATTACTCAGTTGTACTTGTTAAGACATCTCATCAAACAAGTTTGCCAAGCATTGTAACAAAATCAAGTAAAAACAGAATAAATAATATACAGAATAACTGTGATTCCCCCTCCCCCCCCATCACAGTTAAGTCTGAAAAATCCAGCTTGGCATATGATTCAAATACAAAAAGACCAGCACAATAAAATGCAGTACAAATCACAGGAGCTAAAACCACCAGCCAGACCATATATAATCTCTCTTTTTTGGCTTCAAATTAACTTTCACTGGAGGGCATTAGGGAATCCGGGGATTCAAAACAGTGGTTGTTTGGCAAAGGCAGTAACAGCAATTCTAGCCTGATATTCTTCAAGTATTTTGACTCTGCATTTCATGAGGAAAAGAGCTTCAGCGACCACATCTAGGGTTCTGCCATGTCCTGGCATTCGAAAAGAGTCAAGCCTGGGTGGTGGCAGAAAGTGCAGTGGTGTTTTACATGGTGACCTCATTCCATCACACCCCATGACAAGGGCTTTGTAGCATCACTACGTGCTGAAAAGGCTAAAGCACCCTTTTCTACTGAATGATGTCACTCCATCTGTCTTCACCGGAATATAAGCAAACAGCATTCTAACTTCCATAATGTTCAAAAACATTTCAAGAAGAAGCAATATAAAATACTGGCCATTGTCACCCAGGGGGACGGTGTTCAGGGAAGTCGTGTGGAGGTATGCTCAAATTCTGTTTCCTACAGTTTAAGTAGCTCTGTGTTGAAACCCAGCCCCAATAGCTTTCTTCTGGAAGCCATCTTGCCAAGGCCTGGGAACTCAGCCCTGCTGTGGTCTTCAGGGTGTGAATGAGGCCATTCTCACTAAACTGCCACTTGGCATGCAGGGATGATGTGGAGGTCCTTGGCCTCAGCTTGAAGGTCACAGCAGGGTCTGGACCTCCAGGTGGTGAACATTAGGACCTGAAGGTCACTTACGTGCTCAAACAACCAAATCCATTTTGTATTATAAACGGACATTTTTGGATTAAACTCAGAAATGAACAATAGTAACATGTGTTAGTTGCCAAACCCCTGGTTTTGGAAGAGGAAATAGTTCCTATTCCTCTTGCATGAGGAAACAATGGAGGTGTTAGGCTACTACTGTGCTTGAAGGAGGAGTCGACATTCCTGTTTCTTCCTCATTACCTGCCCTCAGTGTGAACTAAATGGCATGAAGGACTCAAAACATTAGCTTTCACACAGTAATAATAATAATAATAATAATAATAATAATAATAATAATAATAATAATTTATTATTTGTTCCCGCCCATCTGGCTGGGTTTCCCCAGCCACTCTGGGCGGCTTCCACAGAAACCAAAAATACACTAAAATATCACACATTAAAAACTTCCCTGAACAGGGCTGCCTTAAGATGTCTTCTGAATGTCAGGTAGTTATTTATCGCTTTGACATCTGATGGGAGGGCGTTCCACAGGGCGGGTGCCACTACCGAGAAGGCCCTCTGCCTGGTTCCCTGTAGCTTTGCTTCTCGCAATGAGGGAACCGCCAGAAGGCCCTCGGCGCTGGACCTCAGCGTCCGGGCAGAACGATGGAGGTGGAGACGCTCCTTCAGGTATACTGGGCCGAGGCCGTTTAGGGCTTTGTAGGTCAACACCAGCACTTTGAATTGTGCTCGGAAACGTACTGGGAGCCAATGTAGGTCTTTCAAGACCGGTGTTATGTGGTCTCGGCGGCCGTCCCCAGTCACCAGTCTAGCTGCCGCATTCTGGATTAGTTGTAGTTTCTGGGTCACCTTCAAAGGTAGCCCCACGTAGAGCGCATTGCAGTAGTCCAAGTGGGAGATAACTAGAGCAGTGTTTCCCAACCGGTGTTCCGCGGCACACTAGTGTGCCGCGAGACGTTGCCTGGTGTGCCGCGAGATGTTGCCTGGAGGGAGGCGGGTGAGTCGGGCGGCGAGAGGCGGGGCGGCGGCGGCGAGGAGAGGCCGCCCAGCGCGGGGCTCTCGCCGTCTGCCTGCCTGGCTGCCTGCGTGGCGCTGACGTCACGGGGCTGTAACGTGCCCCACATAGGCACACGCGGGGCGGCGAGCGAGCTCCCTCCCACATCCCATCGCCGCTCGCTTCGGCCGGCCTACTGGGCTGTCGCAGGCGGAAGGCCTGCGCATGCGCGAGGTTTTCGCGCCTTCGGGATTCCCTTCACGCCTTCCTCCTCCCGGGTCCTTGAGAGCGCGGGAAGCGGCAGCGCGAGACCGGCGTTGAGCCTGGTAGGTATTGCGCTTGCCAAGGCAGTCATTTGGGAAATGAAAACTTGCAAAGCAAGCAACCAGTTCAATCTGAAGTACGTGTATGCTTAATATCCTGTATTTGAAACCTGTTCTGCCCCCTCCCCCACACTTGGTGCCATTTTCATCTACACATGCAGCAGAGTAAGTTGACCCAGAATAGTACCAATTCAGATGGCAGATGGGAGAATGACAGTGCTGAATGCTTTCCCATGTAGAACAGTCCCTGCAAATAAAAACCTAGCATATTTGGAAGAGGGATGCTAGCCTAACCATTACCTTCTATGCTGTTACTATTTTTTTATTTATTTTTTTACATAAGTAAAAAGTGACCTTTCCCCATCTGGCATGGTGGTGTGCCTCAAGATTTTTTTCATGAAACAAGTGTGCCTTTGCCCAAAAAAGGTTGGGAAACACTGAACTAGAGCATGCACCACTCTGGCGAGACAGTCCGCTGGCAGATAGGGTCTCAGGCTGTGTACCAGATGGAGTTGGTAGACAGCTGCCCTGGATACAGAATTGACCTGCGCCTCCATGGACAGCTGTGAGTCCAAAATGACGCCCAGGCTGCGCACCTGGTCCTTCAGGGGCACAGTTACCCTATTCAGAACCAGGGAGTCCTCCACACCAGCCTGCCCCCTGTCCCCCCAAAACAGTACTTCTGTCTTGTCAGGATTCTACTTCAATCCTTCAAATGTTGGCTACAGCTTGTGGTTAGTGAGAAGAGATTTTAGCCAAAAGCCCATGTTCAGATAACACAGTAAGCCAAATCTTAGCTGAACTCAGCACGGTGCAAGAGGAGGAAAAAAGGAACAAAGCAACTCCTGTCTCTATTCTGTATGTTTGCATGTCACTCTTGCAGGTGTTGCTGGACTGCCATCCATTCCAGAGCTTCCTCTTCCCACCCCAGGCAACTACTAAGCTTGCTTTTCACCAGCCCTTATGAAGACACCCCCCTTTTTCATGTCCCTGCTTTTATCTTCAACCGTATTTTCCATGCCTCCTACTCCCTCTTTGTTTGCAGTCCCCTTTTGTTCCTATTGTCACCTCCATTCCTTTTCCTTCAGCCTTCTCCATATTCTTCTCAACTCCCCACTGCACACAGATCACCCCAATTTCCATGCTGCCTCTTTTCTACTTTATGCACTTACTTCACGGTGATATGCATTACTGTATCTTTAAGATGAATGGGCTCTTAAGAGCAAACCTGTTCAGTTCAGTTGATAGATAGAGAATCATAGAATCATAGAATCATAGAGTTGGAAGAGACCACAAGGGCCATCGAGTCCAACCCCCTGCCAAGCAGGAAACACCATCAGAGCCTGTTCATATATTGTTCATATATGGGTCTTGGCTTATAAATACATACAAGAGCATGAGAAAGTTGGCAATACTCCTGCACTTTTTGAGACCTTTAAAAAACAAAAGGCTGGAAATGCCATGAAAACATTGCAGGCTCCATCCTTCAGCTCCTAAGTAGCTGCGCTGCCGAGACAGTTCAGTAGCTTTTCCTAAACAGTTTTTAAAGGGGTGAGACTGAACAGCTGCTGGAGATAAGAATGGGGGGAAATGTTCGAAGAAACTCTGAGGGGGGGGAGAGGGAGGAAGAGGGAGAGAGAGGGAGAATTTAGGATTTCATCAGCCCTCGATAAACTGAAACTGAGCCCTGGCTGCAGAATGAGCAGTTGGCAACAGCACTCGAATAATGGTGATTCTGTCACCATTTGAAGGGAGCAGCAGAAAATATAGTTTCAGGTGGGACATTTTTGATAGGAAAAAAGTTTTAGAGGGGAGAGAACAGTATGTTATTATTCCTCCCCAAGGTTCAATAAATGACAACTGCAGATGTAGCTTTGGCTGGTTGGGGGGAGATTTCTACTGCTCACAGCATGCAGACACTATAAAGAGGAGCTTGTTGTTCTAAGGCTGTCTATAGAACTTACTTGGCAGTTCTTCCCTGAGGAACCAGAATGTCCCAGGATAACATCTAGCTTGCTGTTTCCTACTTGTTTTCTTTAAGTTCCTGTCATCTGCAATAAATAATGTTCTGTATCCTTTATCATGCTGTTGCCAAAGCAAACACTACATACTCACCAGTGCACTGTAGTGGACTATTTAGTTCTGGGTAGTATTTGTGCTACAAGTTGTGACAGCATTGATTTGACTGGTTTTGCTGGCACAAAAGACTAATTATGCACATTGCAAGAGAGTCTATCTCAAGTATCCATGTGTGGAAATAACTGCTCGCCCATCTGGCGGTGGGCGCCATTTGCAGACCAGTGCGCAGCACCCATGATCTCCCTGGAGACAAGCTAGTCTGCCGCACCTGGCCTGCCTTCCCAGCGCCATGGACCGTTGGGGTTCCCACCTAACCCCTATTAAAACTGGCCAATCTGCAGTGCTGCTGGGGCCAGGGCCAGGTGAGCGAACCATGAGTGAGAAGGCTTCACTCCAGTCCACTCTGGGGTTTTATAAGGAGGGCAGAGCCAGTGCTGGACGCGCAGTTGGCCCCAGAGCTGACATGCATGTGCCTGGGGGGAGTTGTGAAATGTTTATTTGTATGATCTAGTTGAGATTCCTGTATTGCAGGGGCTTGGACCTCCAAATCTACAATTGCTATATTTCATATTGGTTTTTAAATTTCCTTGAGTTTCCTTGAGTTTCAAAAGGGTTGTGCTGTTAAATAAATTGACTTCAGAATCAGTGTAACTGATTATTTATAATGTGATGTTCGTAACAGAAATAAAGGCACTATTGTTTTAGAAAAAGATAGATAAATATGTCAGATCAATTCTGGAAAAGGAAACTACTGACATTGTTTAGTAACTAGCAGACAGTTGCTCCTCCGGATCCATGTACTATGGCTTTTCTTTTAGAAATTTTAGGGAACTAAAGTGGACATAATTCAGGTGACATCAGTATTAACACAGTATGTTACAACCTAGGCCTTCAACAATAGTAACAGAAGTTGGACCTCTTCAATTTGTATTTGGTGGCGTCCGGAATCTAATGAAAGTCTGACCTGGAATTCAATCTATACACAAAAAGAGGCTTTCTGACCTTCATGGATGTGTCCAAAAACATGAAGACGGGGTTGTATTCGTCTCTGGACTGTATTCAGCAGCTCAACACATCCCACTCTTTGCATTTTCTTAGGAACCCAATCTAAGAAACCTTTAGAATAAAAGATACAGTACAAAAGAAGAACAAAGAAAACAGATATTATCTGAGGAATTTTATAACCTGAATTTTAAAAATGCACAGCACTGAACCTCTCTCCCTAGTTCTTGTGACTGTGTCTTTGTGAAGAATTATCTTTGAAAGTGCATTTGAATAAAATGGAATAATCAAACTATGCAAACAAAAGGGATTAAGACTAATCTTACTGCTAACAACAAAGGTGTGTGTGGGTGTGTGTGTGTGTGTGTGTGTGTGTGTGTGTGTGTGTGTATGGTAGATATGGTTTTAAATAAATGCTAATAAATATTTGTTAACAAATCTACGGTTTAATATTAAACTAAATGTATAGTTTACTAAGCTTAAGACATATCTGCTGTTTTCCTGCGTCCAGCTATTCTTCTGCTTTGAGTCCTAGTGAAATAAATTGAATACCAGCCATTATGTTCAAACCATGGTGCCTAATATCAAGTTCTCATGGAGTACAGGCAAACACCTAAAATGAATGGAAATGGAAATTTGATGACTTAATGTATTGTGGTCCCCATCCGAGAAGAAAAGAGTACCTAATCTCATGCATAGTATACTGGAGTTTCTAATAACATTCCTGACAAGAATAAAATTATCTGAAGGTGGGGAATATTGTAGTTACTCTTTTTTAATCTTCAGAATAGAAGTGCTCAATCCGCAGTATAGCGCGCCATTTTTAAAGACTCGTTGTTAGTGCTGTGGTTCAGTAGGGTGAGAGATGTTAGCAGTTGCCAGCTGAGGTCAGAAAATGACCTCTCATTTCCATTCTCGTTCCTATTGCCTCTTTGTGATGCTTACTATGTTAAAACAATGGCTAGAGACTGAAGAGCTACAGTGACGGAGCCTTACAGTATGGAAATAAAAACATGTGACATCATAAGTGTAACGTTTACCAGTTGCTGGAAACCGCAGGAGGGGAGAGGGCTGTTGTGCTCAGACTCTGCTTGTGACTTCCCCTAGGCATCTGGTGGGCTACTGTGAGAACAGGATGCTGGACCAGGTGAGCCTTTAGCCTGAGACCCAGCAGCCTCTTCTTAATGCTCTGGCACTTTTTCTGCCACTTTCAGCCATACGGAAGATTTCTAACCAAAATTCTGTGCACATTACCTACAGCATGCCAAATGCTTCTGTTCAGTTCTGTGTTCTGCTGGGATTAGCAAAGTTTTAAAAAGTGATCTATATGGTGCTCAACATGCAAAATAATAATAATAATAATAATAATAATAATAATAATAATGGCATATAATCTAAAACAGGGGTGGCCAACTCTCAAGAGACTGCGATCTACTTTCAGAATTAAAAACTGGCAGTTCGGCTCAAAATTGCTGAGCTTTTTTAGGGAGGAGGAAAGCCCCGGGTTTTTAGGGGTTAAAAAAACCTTTTTTTAGGGGGGAGTTCCGTTTTGGGGATAGTTAAAGGATAGGGACAAAGGGATAAAGTCACTCAGAAGAATATTGCTATGGATCAAAACAGCAGCACAGAGAAAGCTCCGTCTTCCCTTCCAGAGATCATACTACAATGGAGGGTGGGGCGAGGGTGTGTGGCAGGAGTCAGTTTAGCGACGCTAAGGAAAGGGAACCGGAGATCAACCGCGATCTACCAAAACCTCACGGTGATCTACCAGTAGATCAAAAACCTGTTGGACATCCCTGATCTAAACCATCCCTGCCTCAAATCAAAGGCAAAGTTTGCGCAAAGTGTTGCAATACGTATTACATTCTTCATGCTTCCACTTGTTGCAAGAGGGTGCACAGGGTCTTGTGCAAGTGGAAGAAACCGGTCTATTTCCTTTCACTTTTCTCATGAAATCCTCTCACACAAGGTAAAAATGCCCATTCTAGGAACATAAGAAGAGCTGTGCTGAGTCAGTCTTACAGGCCGATCTATTCCAGTATCCTGCTCTCACAGTGGCCAACCAGATGTCTGTGAGGAGCAAGCATGCAGGATCCTACCCACTTGGGATTTCCAGTAACTGGTATTCAGAGCCACACTGCCTCCGATGGTAGAGGCAGAACATCACCAGCATCACCCTTCCGCCAAGGACAAGGAAGGGAAAGGAAAGTACATAATGGAAAAAGTATCTCCCATATAGAATGTCCTGAGCAGCAAACAGAGACTGAAACTCAAACCACGGCTGGTCCAGTGGTTGGAAATAGTTAATTATAAATAAGCCTGTCTGTAAAGACAAAAAGTATTTCCACTTCAAAAACTTTGCAAACTAAAATCCATGAAATTAACTTCTCCATTAAATTAAGCATTATTTATGTTGAACATGTTTCTGTTTGCATGCAATATCAGCCTTCTGAAGCTTTCCCATATGTTTGCAGCTTATTATGTACACCTGACTACACAAACTAAGAATAATTGATTACACCTAGCTAACAATTAGAGATTGCTTTAGATTCCCCCTTCCTCCCCTATGCTTGGTTACTTGAAAACAGGGATCTGTAACTGGCAGGAAAGTATAAATCTTTGTCACCAACAATCAAACAGGCTGTTTGATAAAGACATAAAGGAGAAATGAAAGCTTGTTTAAAAACAAAAGACAAAAGGAGTAAAAGTCCCCCCTAGAGAAAAGAAAGAATTTTGAATTAGGCCAGGGATGGATGTAGAGATTTATTCATATTGTATTCTAACTTGAACCAAGGGCTCAGGATGGCCTGCTATGCACTTTAAACAATGCACTTTTACTCAAAGTAAAAATCCACTGGGTCCCAACAAGATCAAAATATTCCTGCCTAACCACCTTATTAGCAGCATAACCCCAGGCATGTAAAACTAGTTATAAATGGATATACTTGTAGGAAGTGGTGGCAGAGAAAAGGCAAAGTGCATTTCTGTGGGCAAGTGAGCACTGTGGTTGAGGATTCTGGTATTTGAGGATTCTGATATGAACTGATCTGATCCATACCTCCCCCCAAACTAGATGGGAACTTAGTTATTTCACTGGCATTTGCACTTCCTGAATATTCTGGCAGCTTTTGTTTTTGCTCATTTTTAAAAAAAAACATGGATTTTGAGAGGAAAACACTTAGAAAGTCATTATTTAAAAACTTTTTTTTTTTTACAACATTCACAGACTAAAGTGTAAGATAGATGGATGACATGGGCCAGAAATATGTTGATCTGAGCATTCTTAAGCAGTACCAAATTATCTTTAAACTCATAAGTGAAACATGCATACAAGATAATTCCAAAACTTGGTAAATCACTAAAGCTACAAAATTCATGATTCTGGGATAGCTCAATTGGTAGAACATGAAAGGGGGTTAGACTACATGTCCTCTGTGGTCCCTTCCAAATCTATGATTCAATAATTCTATGGAAGTGAAATTTCTTGATTAGGATATGCAAATCCCTCATTCCTTCTCATCAATGAACATGCCTTTAGAACCCCTGATGCAACTTTAAGCAACCAATTTCATCAAAAGATCATGGGTATTCTGGGGGGGGGGGAGTTATGATAAAGTTTTAAACAAGTCAAAAATCCTCACGAAGACTTTTTGCCTCCATTCCTTCCACCTAAAAAGCTACCTAGCTTGTTGGAATGAGTAACTGCCCCCCCCAGTTACTGGGGGCATTAAAAGGGTATTTCTGATGTCAATTTTCTAGGTTTATTCCAGACGTCTATTACTGCTTCCCTAACTTCATTTGGCAACATAACTCCTGAACTTTTCCCCATATCTATTCATGATGAAGACACGATATCACTATTTGCTGTCACATTCAGTGAGACCTTCAGCACTCAATGAGTTTTCAAACCTGAATACTTCCTTACACCACTCAGGTTCGCTACAGCCATACACTCTTGCCCATTCCTTTCATACTTCCCAAGCTCTCATCTCATTCTCCAACTTTCACAATGAATAACAAAGACTACGAGGATTTTGGGTGGGCCATTTAGCTTTAATCTCTGGGGCTTTGTTAACTACAACTAAGCTTGTATCTTCACAGGTACTTCTAACATTATTTCTGGAAAGTTTTTAGCTATAAAAGAACTTTGCCGTTAACCTCTTTGGCTTAGGCTCAAAGCTGTCTGTGATTTAATGTAAGGAGCAGGATTCAAGTCAGACAGCCTGTTGCAACGTCATCCCATGGGCCCTATAGAGAAGAAATAAGCTGTCACTGGAATTATGAAACAGACAGCCGCTACATCTTATTGGAGTCTATAATAAATCTAATGTCACAGAGCAATAACCATCTCCAATGCACTTTCTAGGGTGCCCCACTGAAAGTCCCCAAAACTTTCAACAGTGTTGTAATATTTTTTTTGCGGGGGGGGAATAGTAAGACAGCGAATTTTCCTCTTTTTACAAAGCATATGGCACCATAACTATCAGCTCATTAAAGTACGTCAACAAGAAAAAGAGATATTAATGGAGCAACTGTTGCCATCAATAATATTTTGCAGCTAGGATAAATTATAAGCAACCTGTATCTATCAGGAAATTTAAGAAGTCTCAACAAAGATTCAGAATGGAATAATAACCCATTTCCAGAGGTCTTTCCTAACACTTAGGAGTTAGAGCATTATCTAGCTTTATACTCCATTGTTCAAAATTAGTGAGTTTAAGCATGTAGGCAAATGTCTCCTATTGACGTAAGTAGGAGCTCAGTTGGTAGAGCACGAGATTTTTAATCTCAGGGTTGTGGGTTCAAGTCCCACGTTGGGCTAAAGATTCCTGCATTGCATAGGGTTGGTCTTGATAACCCTTTTGGTCCCTTCCAACTCTACAGTTCCATGATATTATGATTAATATACCCCACCCATCTGACTGGGTTGCCCCAGCGACTCTGGGCAGATTCCAACAAATATAAAAACATAATAAAACACCAAACATTAAAAACTTCCCTATACAGGGCTGCCTTCAAAGGTCTTCTAAAAGTTGTGTGGTTATTGACATCTGATGGGATTCTAAAGTGCTTAACTCTGGAAGTTCATATATTATCTTGCTCACATGCATTCATTCACTAATCCTTGGAATCTTGGAAGAGAGGCTGGTATTATTGTCATCACATTGCAAATGGAGGGCTGAGTGACAGTGTCATGTCTAAGATCATACAGTGAGTTTATGGCTGAGATGCACTTGGAACTGGGAAAGTCTAGATCATAGCTCATGTTACATGAACCACTATATTACACTAGCTTTTAAATATGCAGGCAAGCTGAAGTATGGGAGGTGATTCAGTTTTTAAGATAAACCAGTGACTCCACAGCTCATTACAAAAAGCTGGCCTTCAGTGAATGAACATCTTGTTGTGGAAAAAAAAATGCATCCCATTCTCTGAGGAACATGAGCTGATTTTGCTGCACATGACCTTTGGAAACCTTCCAATTCTATGATTCAAAGCAGGTTCATCAAACATGTGAAGACTTTCAGGCATAGGAATTCAAATGTTCCAATGAACATACACATTGGGAATGCAAGGTTAGCATATATTTTATGTGTGTGCTTTTGGAATACCCGTTTGCTTCCACTGAGCTCTGCATGCATCTTTGCAGTATAGCACATATTGCAGACACCGCAAAGAAACAAAATCTTGTAGCAGTACACTAGAACTTCACACTGCATAAGCAATGTGTCACTATAGTTTTCCTATTTCATTGTTATAATCTTGGTTATTTCAATCATTAAATCACTAAAGCGTCCTGTAATTATTTATTTATTATTTTATTTAATTAAATTTGTATACCAGCCTATACTCTTAGATCTGAGGGTGCTTCACAACATAAAATCCTAATACAGTGGTACCTTGGTCTACAACCATAATCCGTTCCGCAGGTCCATTTGTAAACCAAAACAGGTTGTAACCCAAGGTGCGCTTTTGCCAATGGGGCCTCAAAAAAAAAATTTGTTCGTAATCCGCCCCCCAAAAAAGAGGGTTGTAATCCAAAAAAAGGTTGCAAACTGGGACATGCACTTCCGGGTTTGACGTGTTTATAATCCAAAACGTATGCAAATCAAGACGTATGCAAATCAAGGTACCACTGTATAAAAAACAGAAATGAGGACTGCAAGCATGAGTGGAATACTGTTTCACTCTAAAGCATTGCAGAATCACACCCCTTTAAACCCACACATTCTAAGTGGCAGCAGAATCTACAAACTATTATTTGCAATGACACAACACAGATAAATAATGATCCGAAACATTTTCCAGTGTTTTCTTACCAAGAGGTGGTCCATGTGTTATAAGAATATCTATTCCATCTGGAATTAGGTTCCATTTCTCTAAAAGTGCTTGGCCTCGCGGAAGATTAAAGCCCCAGCCATAAAACCAAGGTTGCCTGCCAAAAAAGGGAGAGATTTTCTTCAGTGCTATATACACGTTGGATTAGTCAGTTAAGACCAACCACAAAACATTCCGTTCAACTTTGTTCATAATGGATACAGGTACATATTCTGGGTTGCATGGCTTGGGGAATATTCCTCCAAGCCGTGTAAAACAAATGGAAAGGTTTGCATTGTGGTGTAGTGTGGTGTGGTGGTGTGGTGTGTGTAGCACACAATTAAGGAAAGAATTACTAACAGCACCTATTTTGGTTTGTGTACTTTATATATGTGGACAGGTCAATTTCTGTTCTCTCAGTTTCTCATTTGTCTAATCTTAAATTCAGTTCTACACATTTCCATATCAGTTTGTGAATACAGTGTTGAAGTGAGAGTAATGAAAATGCAGCTAAGAAGCTCAAATCATATACAGTGGTACCTCGGGTTAAGTACTTAATTCGTTCCGGAGGTCTGTTCTTAACCTGAAACTGTTCTTAACCTGAAGTACCACTTTAGCTAATGGAGCCTCCTGCTGCCGCTGTGCCGCCGGAGCACGATTTCTGTTCTCATCCTGAAGCAAAGTTCTTAACCTGAAGCGCTATTTCTGGGTTAGCGGAGTCTGTAACCTGAAGCGTATGTAACCTGAAGCGTATGTAACCCGAGGTACCACTGTACCGGTATATGACTGACACCCTTCTTTGGAAATTAAACCAATGTCCAGACTTTAACATTCAAAAACCTTACTTGCAGAAACTTGTAGATGAATTAGAACATAATATTTAAATGCACATGCTTCTCTAAGCATGGCCTTACGGTCTCTTCTTCTAACTTCCAAACAACTGTATTTTCTTCTCTTTCCAGAGCTCAGCACTCAACCTCCTGTTTCTCAATTAGGACATGCCTTGCAGATCCTATGAGAGATTTCCACTTTTACCTTCTTCTGCAGCTTTGCTCCGTTTCTTTCAAGCAGAGAAGATGCACTCCAACACTCTATTCAACTTAGCAGTGTTCACGGCTAAATTCTAAAATACAGTAATCTTGCTTTACATAATCTCCTTCACTAGATACTTCCCATGTGACCAACTTTAGCCAAACACATGAGAACAATTCAATTACCAACCAAATTTAAACACAGAGTAATCCATACAAACATTTACAATTTCAGTGTATTAAAATATTATACTGTTTTGCATTTTAGTGCAAATTTATCCTAATATACAGGGATATATGCAATTTTGCCTGTTTCACACATTATTGCAAAGCAATGTTACCTAACACATTTTTGTATGTTATTTTGATTGATATGTGCATTTTATGCACTCTGGAGCACACCACTGCAAAATTAAGAGACGCAGAAATTTTAAAGGATGGCTGTGTTTTAGTTGTGTATCATTTCAGAAAGTGAATAGATTCACCTTTACATGCAAACTGAATAAATTTTCTCCTCCCATTCCTGCTTCAGAATAACCCGTCAAACCCAATGTAGTTTACTGAAGAATAAACTGGGAATTCTAATGTGAGGTAGCCATGTTGAAAAATGAAGTAGCGCTGTCTATGCTGGATTAGTTTTTTTGTTTCTGGCTCCACCCACTGCCAGTTTGCAGACCTTGATGGATTATCCTTGAGGCAATGCAGCCCTGGAATATAACAAGGCATTGGGAGGGACTCAAGTTTTCGTATCCTACGGCATAGCACTATTACGTGACAAACTGACCTTTCCCGACTTGCCTTTTCTATAGTTATTCAAGAAACATACACCCGACCCTCCTACAGCAACTCCTCAAGTAAGACACAGCTAAACAGTTGCCACCCAACCTTATGAACATTAACCTGGAGATTAGGGGTGTGCCGCTTGCTGTAATATCAGCCTGTTAATGAGTCAAACAACAACACAGGATGATTTGGTCCCTGCACAGGGTCAGATTAAATGTGTGCTAAATCAAAACATATTTTACTGCTATTTTGTAAAATTTATTTAGCAATATAGAAGAGTAAGATCCTTGCCAATTATTAAAGCTGTACTGGAAACAATAATGTGTATTAAATTATACACAACTCTGTCCACAGCTTAAATGTTTTTAATAAATTAATTGGCCATGCCTGCTTAGCCTGCTAAATTATCTTATTAAAACAAATATATCAGTTGATATGGTATTTAATTAAGATAGCAGTTTCACCTGTAGATGGCATGTCCAACCATTTTTAATAGTCCGAAAGGCAATTGCCTAAATCGAGCTGTATATTAACAGCAATGTCAGCAGCACTGAAGTTCCTATTGAAGGGAGGGGGACAGTTCTAAGAAGAATCTGATAAAAACAAAACAAAAAACTAAATCTCTGGTTTCCAAAATTTGAAATTAACAACTAATCTTTCCAATTACTCAATTACTAGTATATAACATTTTATTCTGGCATTTGATATGCTAATTATTACTATTCCAATCCTTCATATTCAAATATTTGACTCTGAAGTTACTATTTTAAACTGTGTTCATTATGTAAGGAAGTTAAAGGGATTGCAATCTCAGTAATTAAAATTTATCACTACAGTGGCAAACAATTGCTTCCTGGCAATACTACAAGTAATGGAGTGTGGGGTTGATACTCTTGAATATGTTTGTGGGTTTTCATCTTTCTGATGGACTGCTGAATGGGGCTTTTGCTATATCCCTTACAGAAGGAACAACAAACAACAGACTGTTATAATTTAATAAGTTTTTATGATAATTGCAATGTTAGTGCTTAGCAATATAGGCACATCAACTACACTTCTTTTACAGATGTTACTTTGGAGAAGGCTTTACACTACTTCCTTGCTACATCAACAAAAGACAGAGAATTCTTTCAAGAAATGCTCTGAACTATTCTTTGTATACTGCACGGCAAAGACAAAAGGAAGTGCCCCTGAAGCTGCAATTTATCTTCTTCCACTACTGATGAATTGCTAGTGCTTTCAGAAATTAACGTGTTGTCTGCAATCTTTCTGAAGCTTTTTTCATATTTCCTCTGTGTGTGTGTGTGTGTGTGTGTGTGTGTGTGTGTGTATTTTGTAATGTTTGTAGAATACTGCATTCCAGGAGCTATTATAAATGCAAACTAGCCTGAATATAGAATAAATTTTATTTGAGAGAATAAGTTCCAAGTTACTGGTAGAAAAGAAATGGCAAAAATGCTCCAGAATGCTCCTCCCCTCTTTTGAGAACACATATTCTCTCTCTGATCATGTCACCCCCTTTATAGTCTTTGTAGTATTGCTTTTTCACTTGGAAGTCCTTAATGTTAAAGTTCGATGTTCCAGGACTATCAGAATTACAAGGTTTTACTGAAGACAGATGTGAAAACCATCCCTCCCTACTCCTGTTTCCAGTTCTCAAAAGTTCTAACTAAATTCTACTACAGATGGGGAAGAGACAGGCATATGCAATACATATAGGGTTAATATTAGTGCATGATCCTATTTTACAGACAGAAAGATAATCTAACAGGCTTCCTCTTTATTGCCAACATCAGGGAGAGAAGTCAATATGCATATATTGGCTCTCATTTCCTATGCATCATTTTCCATCATTTTGTCTCCATACAAGTACACCTGGAACTGATCCCATGTATATCTTCTTAACACTCCATGATGCTCTTTATGATGCTATTGTAAACAGCCATTGCCTTTATGGCCTATGGTGCATGTCCAACCCCTGCCCCACGCCAGTAACCAGCTATAGAAAAGCTCATAAATTAGTATGTTAAGATAGGAAGTATGCTCACCAATATTTACTTATTTCCATTTTCACTTCTAGACCACCATCCCTCCTGCAAAAATTTCAATAAATCATGCAAAATACAGCCAATTACAAACACACACAGCTGCATACCAGCATCAATCTGTAACAATGAAATGAACTCATAAGCAAATGGAAAACTAGGTTTGAGGCTCAAAATCACAGCTGCATCAGGAGGGAATTCCACAAATGAGGTGCTGCCACAGGTAAGACTCTGTATCTTGTATTACCACTTAGCAGGCTAAGTCAATGGATCAAAATTTGCAGGGCCTCTCATGTACATCTCAGAGCATGGGTTGGCAGATACCGGAGTGGCACTCCCTAAAATATATGGGCCCCATGATATTTAGGGCTTTATATACCAGTACTAACACCCTGAATTGGCCCTAGCAGTCAGTGTAGTGGTTTAAGAATCATTATTAGATTATCCCTTTCACTACATAGCATAACAGCCAGACCATCTCCATGACTAGCCCCATATAGGGCCCACTGCAATACTCCAGTGCGACATTGCTGGAGTGTGGAGTACTGAAGTCAGGCTATCCTTGTCCAGGAATGACCATGGCTGGTGGAGTTGGGCACAGGCATTCCTCACCAATGGGCCTTCAGGGACAGCAGCGGGTCAATGAGCACCCCTAAGCTACACATCTGCTTCATCAGGCGAAATATCTCCAATTCCCAGACATTATGAGTTACCTGTATTATCAGGATTCAGTCTCAGCTTAATGGCCCACATCTAGCCAATGCCTGTCTCCAGAAACTAGTCCAGCACTTTGCACAGCCTCTCCCAATTCAAATGGAATGGAGAGAAAGAGCTGGGTGTCATCCACATACTAGTGACATCCGGTGCCAAATCCCTGAATGACTCTTTCCAGCAGCTTTCATAGATGTCGACTAGCACAGTGGATCCTCGTGGGATTCCACAGCACAAATGCCATGGGGTCAAGCAAAAGTTCCCCAATGCCACTTTCTAGGAGTGGACCTGCAGCGAGGACCAGTGGTCCAACTCCAAACCTGCGCTGCTCCAAAGCAAATGGTATCAAAAGCTGCTGAGATGTCTAGGACAAACAACAGAAGAGCGTTTCCCCCCTCCCACGCCACCCATCTCTCTCTCCCAATAAAGGTTATTAATCAAGAGCAACCAAGAGTGTTTCAGTAGAGAATTCAAGACTGAAGTCAGACTGAAACTGTTTTAAACAATCATTTTCATCCAGGTATGTCTGAAGCTGACTAGATACCAAC